TGAAGCCATCTGGGGCAGGAAAGTGTGAGATTCTTTTCTCTAGTTAATTATCAAAAAAGCTGCCAGTGGAGCTGTGGCTCGAGTGGTAGAGCACGAGCCCTGAGTGAAAAAGCTAAGGGGCAATGCCCAAGCCCTGAGTTCAAACCCCAGTACTGGCACAAAAATAAAAAACAAACTTTTTCACAAAAATATGGTAGCCTTGGAGGTGTACGGGGAGGGACAGAAATTGTGCGACAAAGGGTGAACACATGCAGCAGTGGTACTCACTAGACACTATATGTAAAATTAACTATACAACTTGGGGATGGGAGGAAAGGGGTGACGTTGTCCAGAAAGAAATGTATTCATTACTTGATTTATGTAGCAATAAAAGTTAAAAAATAAAAAGATGGATGGCTGTTTCTGTAGAGACTTTTTTTCCCCTAATTACTGAGTGCCTCTTTTGTTTGGTACTATACTGGGTGCTTCCAGTGTATCATTTAATTTTAATGTCTCATTATCCTTATTTTAGAGATCAGGATACTGAAGTTCAAACAAGATATACAGCTAATAAATGGCAGTAATAGGTTTCAAAGTGAGGTTGATTTGATTTTTAAATTTGGTGACTTTACTAGGCAATTCTCCATTCTATCACCCATTATATAGCCTTTGACACACGGAGGTAGATTCTTGACAAATAATTGTGTCTTTAATCTTATTTGTAGCTTTACCTTTCTTCGTCACTTCACTAATTGCTTCAATGATTTTCTAACTATTTGCCTTTATACCTTTGTAATAATATATTTTTCTCTCATGCATTTTTAGAGTTATTGTAAAGGTGATGTACAGAGGGTTACAGTTACATAAATAAGGTAATGAGTGCATTTCTTTTCGAGCAGTGTTACCCTCTCCCATGTGCTCTCCCACTAACCGCCCCTGAAGTCCTTTCCCTCTCAAGTTGTTCATTTCCAACATAGTGTTTCGTGAGGATCTCTGTGGCATTGGTTCACCCTTTGGCCCACTGTTTCTGTGGATTCCCCTCCCCTTTCCCAAGTCAGATAACTTATAAAGGGTACTGGAATCAGAAACAGTGATCATGAGGAATAAACCAGAGGAGAAAACAAAAAAAAAAAGGAAAGACAAAAGAAATAATCACAAACAGTACACACATATACACATATACAAGGAAAAAAAAGAAAAACGAAACCACCACCAAAAAAAAAACAAACTTGTTTCCATACTGTGGATATCATTTTAATAATAGTTGGTGGTTGGCTATTTAATTTTATGTGGTCATATGTACACAGCTATTGTGAACCTCTTCTAGGACTATCCTAGGCATATACTAATTATTACAAATGAGGGAAACCGTGGAGCCTGTTTCTTTGGGTCTGGCTTACTTAACATGATTTTTTCTAAGTCTTTCCATTTCCTGATAAATGAGGCAATGCCATTCTTTCTAATGGAAGCATAGTATTCCATTATATATATATATATATATATATATATATATATATATACACCACATACAATGTCAGCCCTTCCCTCGCTCTCTCCCACTTTTTCCTTCCCATCTTCATCCACACATTGTATAGGTCATTTCAACATAGTTTCCAGTAAGTACCACTGCTGCATTTGTTCATCCTTTGTCCTTCCATTTTTGTGCCTCCCCTTACCCTCACAAATACAGATAAACAAACAAGATAAAAAGAAAACAAAAATAGCAACAAAGAAAAAACACCTCGTTTCTATTTTCTGGCATTTATTGGTTATTCATTTTTGTCAGTTGTAGGGCTTGAACTCAGAACCTGGGTGCTATCCCTGAGATTTTTTGCTCAAGGCTAGTTTCCTATCATTTGAACCACAGCTCCATTTGTAGTTTTTAGTGTAATGTTTCTAATTAACTGCCTAAAATCCTTTTGGATTTATATTCCATTCAGGCATAAGGAAAAAGGAAATAGCCCTCCAATAGTTACTTTCGCTTAATGTTGATTGAGTCTTCTCATCTTAGTTATTAAAAATTTAGGTTTCTGTTCTAGTGTATACACTGCTTATGTTATAAAAGAGCTGAGGATTTATGGTATTTTAAACTGCCCCTGCTACTTGTAAACAGTGAATAAACTGTACCATAGGCTTCCATGACAGCATATATTTAGTCTTTGTGTAGATAATCATGTCTGAGGAAAGGGGCTAATGAATGAATGTTTATATAAAAGCTAATGGCATCATTTGCCCCCTTGCTTGGGTGGAGCTGGGTCTGGCACACAGCTTGCTGAGGTCTACTGATTGCTATCCTGGACACATCTCACCACTGTCTTCAGGCTGCTCTTAAAATCCTGAAGGTGCTGGTTGCCATTAGGAAGTACAGGTTATCTCCTACTAGAAACCGCTTTTTGTCATTTTTGGAAGCTGTTCTGTACAAGCTGTCTTTTTCTAGATGGCCCAAGTTCATTGTCCTAACACTGGACTTGATGTCAGAGAGCCATTCAGAGGGAACATTCTGCTTCTTTGGTTTCAAGTGAGTTTCTTGGTAACACCAAGTATGGGGGAACACAGAGCACTGGTTTGCCACTTGCTCCCTTGCAAGAGGAGCATGCCTGCCTGGGGATTGTTGTGTAGAATTGCATCATTTAAAAACAAAACAAAAACACTTTCATGCTTTTGCTGTTGATTCAGACCGTTTCTCCTTTTTTGTATGGTGGGTTTGATCTTGCTGGATCTTATCAAAACACTCATCTTATTCTTGTAGCCACTTTTTTAAAAAGTAGCTTCTGATAATCTTAGGATTCAATCACAGATAGCATCTGTGACTTCAGTTCTCAGTGACTTGGCAAGTGAAATGCCCTAGGTTTGGAGTAAAGATAGAGAGGAGAAACATTAAGTAGGCATTCTTTCATGGTAGTTGGCTATTAATAGTGGGGGAGCAGTACATGTTATGTCTGTTTCCAGTGTCAAGTAATTAGTGCATCTAATTGGGACACGGGGACAGACGTATACTTAGAAAAAAAATTCAAATTGATATGTTAAAAAGGGTTCAACAAGAATTTTATTTTTGCCTGCTTTTAATATTCTGTGGTTGCTTGCACCTATAGATATTAAAGGAGACTGGATCTAAGCAAAAAGGCATTAATAATAGAGGACATTCTTACGACTACAAATGTGTTTTGAGTTGGTAAGTTCCAGAAGTCTTATTCTCCTTAAATGGTTTCTGATTTTTCCCTGATCGTGTGCACATTTGATTTGTTTTGGTTTATATTTCACATTTTTGTTAGATTTAAATATGCGCTGGTTTTTTATTTACTTTGTGTTCACAGCTGATTTGATTTCTGTTGTTAAGATTGATTTCCTGCACCTTGTATGGTTTGGGTTTTAGAAGCCATGTGTTCGTTGTATGCAGGGCAGTAGGGCTTTGTGGAGTCCCCCTGCAGCCCACTAGTGCTCCAATGAAGTCTCCAGATTCGGCCTTTTAAGTGGTGGCTTCTCTGTTCTCGTAACTGGATCTACCATACAACATTATGGAATCCCAATGTCGGTAGAAGGCCAAATGTAATCCAAGTTTCCTGTTAATGTATTGCTTCTCTCAGGGATTCAGGGTAGAAAGTTGCAATATTAGTGATCTTGGCGCACAAAGCTTCTGTTTGAGTATCTGGGAGTGGGCAGATCCCAGTGAAGAGGAAAAACTAGTAATGAAAGTAACAGGCAGCTTAAATTCCTTTGGTAAAACATTCCAGTGGAGTTCTGTCGTATTATTGCTTTTTCATGTACTTTGTATTTACAGAAGATTTTCAAATCAAGGTGATTTGACTATGAAATAATTTAGCTTCTTGTTGACACTTCTTAATATAGATGTGCAAAGTTAGAATGCCTGATGAACATGAAGTGAATAGTGTCCTAGTAAAGACAAAAGGAATCAATGATGATGCCTCATTGGAGTGAGCAGGAGAGATGGCCAAATACTAACATTACCTTCTCTTTGGCTCCAGGGCACAAATAGAGAATGTTTATGAAGGTAGCTGAAAGAAGTCACCAAGTGGGAACCTCAAGGGTTTTTTTTTTCTTTCTTTCTTATTTTGGTGCTAGTACTGGGGCTTGAACTCAGGGCCTTGTGCTCTTACTTGGTTTATACACTCAAGGCTGGTGACCCATCAGTTGAAACACACTTCCACTTCCAGTTTTTTGCTGGTTACCTGGAGATGAGTGTTTTGGATTTATCTGCCTGGGCTGGCTTTAAACTGTGATCCTCAGATCTCAACCTTCTAGGACTACAGGGGTGAGCCACCGGTGCTTAGCAATCTGCAAGTTTTGTCAGTTGCATGTTACCTATACATTGTGAATCTAAGACAATACAATAATATAATCCAATATAATCTCAAATGATATGAATGTTTCTAAGACGTCTTGGAGCTCATCTGTAATTGGTAAATAAGAGAATGAACACAGTGTTAACACTGTAATTTTAACTGTAAAGAAGAAAGGAAAACAAGTTAGATCATTTAGCTCTATTTTTAGAGAACTACTCGATGTCTGCTTCTTGGGCTCCTCCCCAGAGATCTTGCAGATTCTGGGTCCTGGCAGAGTACTGCCTCCTTTGCTCAGAGCTTCTCTCAAAAGACAGTACTGTGCTAGACCGTGAATTTTTAATATTCTCTGAGGCATCCTCTACCATATGGTAAGTGGCCTTCCTGAATTCCACAGGTTATCTCTGGAGGTACAATTATTGCTTTTGTTGGTGCTCTAGTTATAAATACATGTAGGTTTTGACATGTTTTTTTTTCCCCTAAGCTTACTATAAGTTCTATTCTTTTAATAGACATGTTCCAAACTGTGTTCAGTTTGTTAATTACATGTATTTTATATCATAGCAGAAATTCTGTACTTTGCACTTAGAGATGTTTAATAGGCATGAAAGATTATTTTAATTAACTGCATCACAAGAATTATAAAAAGTGACTCCAAGGAATGACTATGTTGACAATGATCCTAATTACAAGAATTAAGGAAGATCATGTAACTAGACTACAGAATCTCCAAAAGCAATTTTTATTTTCATGAACCATTTATCACTACTGCTATAGAGAAACAGAAGGTAACTTTTCATTATTGAGAACTGATGAATGATCTTCCATGAGTTCCAGCTGAATAACTGGAAACTGTACTTGTTTTTCAAACCATTTGGCAACTGTGAGAACCTGCTTGTCACAAAACGCGGGTCCAATAAACTGCAGTCCCACTGGCAGCCCTTGGTGTGAGAGGGCTACAGGGATGTTCACTGCTGGCAATCCTGAGGAAAAGAAGGAAATCATTAGTTGATAAATTCTCCAGCCAAAGATACAAAGACCTCTTCCATTATCTAGTGCTAGGAAGTATAGGCAGAAAGACTGAAAAACTGTCCTGTTACATATATGTTTTTGTACCATGCTTTGTTCACTTAACAATAAACCTTGGAAATCATGCTGTCTCAGTTCAGAGATCTTCTTTCCCTGTTTATAGCTGTACAATGCTCCTTTATGTGGGGTTTTTTTTTGCCATAATTTATCCACTAGTCTTCTATAATTGAGCATTGGGGGTTTTCAATATTTAGCTATTTTATTCAATACCTTGTGTGTCATTGTTTGTTGATATTTTTTTGAAACTTTTCATAGATGAAAAGGGTTTCATCAAGGGTGAATGAATTTGTGATTAGTAATTCCTCTTCAAAGATATGCTTCTTTTCCTATATCCTTGCCAACAGAATGTGTGCTTTTAGGCCAATCCATTAGATAAAAAATTAACTCAGGATAGACTGAATCCCAGATTTTAACTACATTAGCTTCAATGTAGTTTTAATGCTACATGTGGGAGAGGGAAAGTACAAGATTCTAGGTATCTTATTATGCCATAGAAGCAAGACAATTTTCAAAAATTTAAATAGAAACAAGACTAAAGGATACATACAACTTGAAAATTAGGATAATTTCAACATCAAAAACAATGACAATAATTTCTTATGAAGAATTAGAAAAAGAGAAAAAATCCACATTTGATTTTATATGCCTATAATCTCAGTATTTGGGAGGCTAAGGCAGAAAGATCATGAGTTCCAGACCAGCCTGTGCTACACAGTGAAATCCTTCCTAAATAAACAGCTCTTACTTACAGAAGTCTGATTCTAACAAATATAGAAGAGATGACACAATTAGAGCAGTCAGCATTTTATAATTCTCTAGGTAATAAGTAATTCAGGAAGAATTATCAATGGATACTAAAACTGGGTTCAAGATATTGAGGAAATAATATAATCATGTCTCTATTGCTCTATAAATTGCTTATAAGTCATCAAGAAAACTATACCTTTATAAGGGCAATGTGGCAGTTACCTCTGTGAGTGATCAACTTAGTTTCCAAAAATGGGACAAAATAATACCAACTACTGTGTGAGGTGAAAAGTATATAGTATTTCTGTCAAAAATGTTTAAATCAACTCAACTATGAGGGGACAATTAGACAAATCCAGAGGACATCCTCTAGGACCGTAGATTAAACACTGCAATGATGGTACATGTCTATAATCCCAGCACCCAGGAGGCTGTGGTAGGAGGATCATGAGTTTCAGGCCATAGCAATTCAAGACCTAAACTATGTAGTAAAACCCTATTTAAAAAAAAAAAAATCAAGTGTCGAAGCTATAGCTTAGTGACAGAGCATTTGCCAAATGTGTGTAAAGTCCTGAGCTTGATTTGTAGCACCATGGATATGGGTAGGTATCACTGAAGAGAAAAAAAATAAATAAAGATGGGAGGCTTCTGATTAGAAAGCTAAATGGAACAAAACTAGGTGGCACAACATATTTCATATAGCAGAGATAAGAACTACTGAACCAGAATACTATATCCAACAAAAATAACCTTTAAAAGTGAAAGGGAGAAGCTGAGGACACAGTGCAGTGGCAGAGTATCTGCAAACACTCATGAGGCCCTGGGTTCACTCACAATAGAGCATCTAAACAGAAGAGAAGGGTACAGACTGATTTGTTTTTTCTCTTGAGTGATTTACATTATGTTTGATGACTGAGACAAAAAATTATAACATGCTTGATATGGTTGTTTAAAAACAAAAACAAAAATACCTGAGACACTTCAGCGACTGCTATAGATTCTTAAAAGATATCATAAACAAATGTAATATGCTTGGGGGAAAGGCAATTTAAAAAAATTTTGGTACAATTGAGAAAACTGAAATATGGACTATGTTCATATTATTCTTGAATACAAGTTTTTAGATGCAATCAAAGGAACTGTGGTTATGCGGGAGAACACCTTTTTCATGCATGAAGTGTCATGTCTAAAACCTTTTAAATGATTATGCTAAAAACAAGGGATGCTGTGTGTGTGTGTGTGTGTGTGTAGAATGAAGAAAGAAAATGAAGCACACTGTTAACAATGATGAATTCAGATGAGAGGCTTATCAGTATTCATATACTACTTTACATCTTTTCTGCACATCTCATTATTTTCAAATTAAAACTTTAAAAGTGTTAAGTGTATGAGTTCAATTATATACATATGTGTGTGTGTGTGTGTGTGTGGTTTTAATATTTATATTCCTAAGTATTCCAGAAGAATAGGCTTTTGCTTCTAGGATGCAAGTCACCTAGAACCTAGCTGAAGATAAGGATATCTATACAAAAATTTGAAGGAAATCAGAACATTTGTGAGGGATCCTCACCTGCCATATTTACAGCCTGTGTAAAAATATCATCCTGGGCACTTCGTGTTCTGTTGTCTTCTTTGATGAACTCCAAGTATGGCACTGCCTCACTCAAGGTAGTGGGGGTCAGCAGGACATCCACTCCAGAGTTAAAAACATTCACAAAATCGTTTGCAATGAGGCGTCTCACCTTCTGTGCTTTGATGAAATAATTCTCATAGTTCCTGTGGGAAAAAAACAGATGACACTTTAAGGACATCAAAAAGATGTTTACATTATGTTTGTTAAAGAAGCACTGGATTCTCAGGGTAAAGGGATACATAAAGCAAAGGAAAATTAAGTTGGGTCATTGAATTTTTTGAGACAATAACAAAACTCCCTGCTTAAAGGTCTAACAACAATAAGCCAAGGTGGCAATAACATTCAAATAATAGTTTTTGAATATAATCAAATATTATTTGGTTATATTCCACACTAAAAGACCCGTTTCCATATTGACCAGATGCTCAGGCATAGGAAAAAATGAAATACCATCAGGAAGTTTTCTATGCTAAGAATTCTTAAGCTGAAGATACTACATTTGCTGAATACAATGGAGAAGCACTATAATAATAGGACAATTAGTAAGACTAAAATCCTTTAGGGCCTACTACTTAGATTGGATTTATTATTTGCTTAGAACAACAATTAAAATTATTAAAAATAAAATAAAATTTTTTTTGAATAAGTAGGAATCAAAAGTGCCATATAAATATGCCTTTCCTTGTCTAATCATAAGGATTTTACTTAAGAAATATTTCAACCTGATAGATGTGCTACTGTTTTATATTTGAGATTATTATTTTTTTGGGGGGGGGTGGGGGTCCGGTCGTGGGGCCTGAACTCTGGGCCTGGG